CGGACCTTTCTTCAAAACTGCGCTCTCGCTGTGGCGCCGCGCCGATCTTCGGATTTGTGTGTTGCCGCAGAATTCCATGGCCAGCGCAGCATTCTGTGAGACTGCCGCGCATTTTTCGTGGTGGGCGCAGCATGTTTTGCGCTGATGCAAATGATGCGTGGCAGGCGCAGCATTTTCGGAAACAGGGTCTGTGAATTTCGTGGCAGGCGCAGCGTTTCGCTCATTTCCAAGCGTTGCAAGACGAAAGTGAACCCTTTGCGGAGATCGTGCGTGTCGAAGCACTCTCGCTGTGGCGCCGCACGAACTTGTCTTGAGCTCGGCGAACCCTCTGCGGAGATTGTGCGTGTCGAAGCGCTCTCGCTGTGGCGCCATGCGAATGTGTCTTGAGCTCGGCGAACCCTCTGCGGAGATTGTGCGTGTCGAAGCGCTCTCGCTGTGGCGCCGTGCGAATGTGTCTTGAGCTCGGCGACTCTCGCTGTGGCGCGGTGCGAATGTGTCTCGAGCTCGGCGAACCCTCTGCGGAGATCGTGCGTGTCGAAGCGCTCTCGCTGTGGCGCCGCGCGAATGTGTCTTGCACTCGGCGAACCCTCTGCGGAGATCGTGCGTGTCGAAGCGCTCTCGCTGTGGCGGCGTGCGAATTTGTCTTGAGCTCGGCGAACCCTCTGCGGAGATCGTGCGTGTCGAAGCACTCTCGCTATGGCGCCGTGCGAATGTGCCTTGAGCTCGGCAAACCCTCTGCGGAGATCGTGCGTGTCGAAGCGCTCTCGCTGTGGCACCGTGCGGGGTGCGACGTGCCCTCGCGCATCTCCGGCTGCGCAGGCAACGTTTACGTACAAAGCTGATCTGCGGCTCGAAATTCGCAACTTCTAGGTGCAAAAAGTAGTACGGGAAGAGCGTTCCCGCAGCTCCGGCTGTAAAATCGTGCTTTTTAAGTACAAAAGTAGTACGCGAAGTGCACTCACGCAGCTCCGGCTCGAAATTCGCAACTTTTAGGTACAAAAGTAGTTTGCTACGTACAAAGCTGGCGCGCAAAGTGCGCTCCCGCATCTGCGGCTCGAAATTCGCAACAAAGTAGTACGGGAAGAGCGTTCCCGCAGCTCCGGCTGTAAAATCGTGCTTTGTAAGTACAAAAGTAGTACGCGAAGAGCACTCCGGAGCACCGGCTGCAAAATCGCAATTTTTAAGTTCAAAAGTAGTACGCGAAGTGCACTCCCGCAGCCCCGGCTCGAAATTCGCAACTTCTAGGTACGAAAGTAGTTTGCGGAGGACATTCCCTCAACTCCGGCTGACAGCTCGCAAGTTTTAAGTACAAAAGTAGTACGCGAAGAGCACTCCAGAGCTCCGGCTTGCAAAATCGCAATTTGAAGTACAAGAGTAGTACTGGAAGTGCACTCCCGCAGCTCCAGCTTGAAATTTGAGAATCGCAACTTTTCAGCGCAAAAGTGGTGCACGAAGTGCGCTCCCTGTACGATGTGCGTTCCCATGGCGCGAGGCTCGCAACTCTTAAGTCCAAAGTTGTGCATAAAGTGCATTCCCGCAGCTCGGCTGCAAAATCGTAAATGGCAACGTGCGCGCGAAGCACGCTCGCGCAGCTCCAGGTAGTATGCGAAGTACACTTCCGCAGCTAAAATTGCCAGCCTTCTTGCGTAGCCAAGCTGCTCACAGATATGGACAAGAGAGGACATCAAAGATTTGGCAAGAGAGGTTGCAGAACATCATGCGCAGCATCATGCGCTGCATCGCGCGATGCGTCATGCGACATTGCGCGCAACATCACGCACAGCTTCGCGCGCAACATCAAGCCATAGCATCACGCGCGCGAGAAGTTGACAGGAGAGATTGCGAAGCATGATGCTAAGCCTGCTCATCAGAACCTACGCTTGAGCAGGGGCACCGACGTGTTTACGATCTCATCAGGTGGGAGGGCGTCAGTGTTTATGTAATGTTTTTCTATGCTTCTGGGCCACTTGTCGTCAAGTTGGACGCAATACTATTTGGGGTCTCTTGCCGGGAGAATTGTTCGCCGCCCTTTGAAGGATGTACAAAAAGCCCGCAGCGTCACGGGCAAATCGGGCCTTGGCGTCACGGGTCTCCAGCGCAGCGCAGTCAAACAACAGCCATCGGGCGCCTTCCGACAAGCCCAGCGTGGCTCTTTGCAAGCGCAGTTCAAAGCCAACGCCTTCCGGCAAGCCTTCAAACTTGCTACGCAAAAAATTGGCCCCAATTTTACAAGAAGCAAAGTGAAACCACAACAAACTCCAAGCCAAGCCTGCCTCGCGCCAACCACAGCAAGTCATCAACACAGACCAGCAAGGTGCAACTCTGGTAAACTGCTATCCGAAGGCCAGACATCAAGCAACAGCAATGATACGGCGATTGAAGGTATTGAAAGCGCAAACTTTGTTTAGCCAAACCTTGTCAGGTTAGTTTGTTTTGCAAGCCAGCCCCCAATCTACCTCGGCTACTTTCACAAAGCCGCGTGCGCCGAAAAACCTTTTACTTTTAACAAATCTGCAAAAACAAAAGCTAATCGCACATCTTGATGGCCGGGTTGATGCCCACCACAGGCGTTCTATGACACACGACTCTGAAGGCCTGTTGGCCCATCCTTCTTCTCCCCTTCTAAAATGCAGTTGCCACTGTCATAGCCTTTCGCTGTGGCATCTGACTCATATTGGCGCCGCCACTTTGTCCCGGCACTCTTGGGGTTTGGCCTTGTGCGCAACTCGAGCCCCCCTTGCAAATGAGTTCTCCGGATTCGGGAATTTGGGTCTCCTGAAATTCAGAGCAGTTCCTCAATAGCTCGGCGCTGCTAAGGACAACGGTAGTCCGGCCAGCGCGACTGTAAACTCTGGACTCTAGAGCTGTGAAGCAAAAAGGGGAACACTCAGTCTTCCCAAGTGCCCCAACACAAGCTGCCTCCCCCGACAAGACTTGAAGATAGTCATTCCGCGGCCGCTGCGTGCCGAGCTACCTGCAGACACTGTGTGTATGAGTGGTCCGCAAAGCAGCCTTGGCACTGGAGAGCCCCTGTTGGCTTGATGACACTGCTCCACGTCGGAACTGCCCCGTCCGTCAACTCCAAGCCAGCGATTTTGCTCCCGCGCACATCGCGCGAGAATGTCAGAAGATGTCAGAAGCATCCAAGCAACTCTCCGGGCCAGGGGACTTTTTGGCAAGGCTGGCAGCAGCTGCCTCTGCTGCACTGATCAGCTTGTCCTTGTTGGAGCATTTTAGCTGGAGAAGGGGTATGCGGCATTTTTGGAAAACCATCAGAATCCATTGAAGCTTCGGAAAGCTGGGGCAACAAACGCTTGGCAGTCTTGCTTTCTGCTTTTGGGCTCAAGCTGGCTTTCTTCCAAGCCTTGCTGTTGCTAGGTGCATCCTGCTCAGGTAAAGCTTTTCTGGTGGGTTGTACTGAGCCTTATTGGTGTTTGCTACCAGCTCTGGCTGGAGGGCACAAGCTCTTCCAGGACTTTTTGCTCCTCGTGTTGCTTTCCTGCCCACAAATCATGCTTGTATGGGCCTTGATTGCAGGCCTCTGCGTGCGGTAAAATGCAGGTTTTCAGCTGGCTGGCAGCAGTTTCTCCTGAGCTGATGGCCGCCAATTTCTTCACAAAAGAAGCATTAGCAGCCAAGCTTTTGCTGCTAATTGCCTGTGTGGTTTTACAGGAACCATAAATGCCTAAATCAAAAGCTTTAAGGCCATGCTCAGAAAAAAGGCACCATCAAAAACGGCAGACAACTGGTTATGCCAGTTCCACCTTTGCAAGCACCTGCCAGCCTAGGTCCTAGGTGTAAGCTTTGTTTTTAAGCACCTGGCAGGTGGAGGCTGAACAGATCACAAAAATGCTTTTTCAATCACTTAGGAAAACAACAGCTCTAGCCATACATTGCTTTGAGCCGAAAAGCTGGCAGCAAAGACGAAATGCAGATTATTTTTCTATCCTGACCAATCTGGTATTGGTCTTAGTTTTCATTTCAGTATTGAGAAGCAGATCAGTACCCAGCATTGGCTATCAGATATCGGGAACAATAGCATTTTTTTTTTCAATATCGGACCCTCAGGGCGGTTGTCATTCAATTCTTCAGTGCCACCGCCCGACATCCTTCCCAAACTTTTGGCAGGGAATGTCCTCCCAGTCCGTACCCCTAGCATTCGGACGCATGGGAAATTCACCCTCAGGCAACTTTCTCCCTCTTCCCTGCACCACTCTTTTCAGGCACCGCCCTTTTGCGCCCCAGACGGTTCTGGAACTCGGCGGACGCAGCGTCAGCAGCCGCAAATTCAAGACCTGAGCGCGTGATGCACCGCTGCGTATGAACCCATGGATCTTCATGAACATACTCCTTTTTCTTTGCTGCCGGTGCCTTCCGGTATGTGGTGATTTCTTTTGTCTTCTTTCTGGTTTGTTCCTGGTGGTTGAATAAGGACACCCTCAATTCCGGGTGGTGGTGGGCTTTGTCCGTGGGGCTGCTGGTTGGTCTTTCGTCCCTGCTTGGAAGCCAGAGAGGCAGGCTATGCCATTCCGATTGAAGGACGCAACAATACTGCTCTGCGAAACATCGTCCGTCGTGGGATGACCGCGGCCCGCGTGCCACATCAGGAGACAGCGAAAACCCTCCCAGCAGTCAATCATACCGACCAGAAAGGATTCCTTGGTATCTTGACAACCCAAGCAATGATCACAACCAGAGCTCTGAATTGGGCTTGGGTCCGAAATTGATTCTTTGTCCAGTCGGGGGGGGGGGGTGATTTCAGCATGAACGGCTCGAGGCGCGATAGTTCACGTAGTGTAGGCCTAGCGACAGAAACGACGCCATGCTTCCTTTTGAGGCTTCCCGCTGTGCTAAAATGAACACCATATTTTATGTCTTTCACTGAACGACTGCTGACCTTACATGTTCATTGGTTGGTTTGTTGCTTTGCTTGTAGTTTGGGACAAGGGCTCCCAACTCGTGCCTTGAGCAATTTCAAGCTTTGACGCAACGGGCTTGAGGTGGCGACGAGTTGGAGCAGGCGCTGTCCGGCCGGGAACTGCGGCGCTTGCGGCTTGAGATGCTCGAGCTGGGTGAGACAGGGGCGGTGCATTTGGGGCGGCTGCTCGCGAAGATGCCCAGCCTGCAACAACTGGACGTCATCGAAAGTGGCATCAGCGACTTAGTTGTTGGGTGCTAGCTTTGTACAGTTGCCGCTTGCGCTTCTTATCAGGAAGCTAAATATGAATTAGCGTTTAGACCTCCTATTTAACATCCAATGCCAAGTTCCGTGTAACTGGTTTACGCATGGGTTGTTGGGGTGTTTACCCTGGGGTCCAGCTCTTCGAAAAATCCCTGGCATTACCTTTTCCATTGCCGATTGTGACCCTTAGGTTGCCACACACCTTTCAGGCATCATCATGCACAACACAAAGCTTATGAAATCGCACCTTTGTCTATTTACCAGCATGATCTCCTTTCACGTTGAGGCGATGCTGGGTTGGACGCTTTCTGTGGAGCTGTAAGGCAGGGAAGCGGCCTGGGTTTGAGAGGACTGGCGCCTCGACGGCATTCCTTGAGCGTCTGCTGCCTTCTCCCCTTTCAGAAATCTCAAGTATGCAGCGCCCAGGTGTTTGGCCTATGCGCAGATTATGTGTGTTAAGTGCGCACATGCAAGCGCCCCACACTCGTCAACCCACCCACTCCCCTGCGTTTGAGAAACTCGCTGGAAGGAGCTCCGACTGTTTTGAATTTTTGTCGACGAAGGAGTGCGACGTTTGAAAATGCCTAGGATGGTTTTCAATCACCGCCTCCACAGGTGCAATGGGACACAACTTAGGGCTTGCCTTTATCAATCTATTGTGTGCCTTCTTTACAAGGGTGGGGGCGGCCATGCAGGCTTACTGACTCGCATCGAATCTGGCAACATTTACCCCTAATTCTGGGGAACGTTCTCCCCAAAATTGGATTGTAAATTGGGGTGGGGGGAGATTGGGGGTGCGCGTTTTGTGATTGTGTTGATTCTTTAGGAAACACATAGTTTTTGGCAGTTAAGCCAAAAAAACAAGAAACAACCACAAACACCAAGACCATGTCAGCTGTCCTGACTTGTGAGGGGGGGGTACTCATTGTTGTTTACCGAGGTTTTTTTGCAGTTCTTTGGACAAGTGTGAAAAACCTTGATAAAACCAAAACGACTATGCCAGCTGTCCTGACTTGGGTGGGGGGGGTAGTCTTTTTTGGGTTTCTCGAGCTTTTTTGCATTTGTTTGGAAATGTGTGAAACCTCGAGAAAGCCAACAAACCTTACTCAAAAAGGACTCTATCAGCTGTCCTGATTTGGGGGGATTATATGTCCCCGTACCGTTTCCCACCAGTTTGCAAGAGCTTCTGTGATCAAGTGTGCTGGTGTACTTCACCTCCAAGCCCTAGTGCAGTAAGTTAGAGATGGTTTGCTCTGGTTGAACCCGGTCCTTATTACATTCCTCTTAATTTTAGGTAGAGTTGTACACGTATCACTTGACAAACGTATTCAGTAGAGTTCGTACGAAAGAAAGTAGACACCCCCAAACTGTTAGAAACACGTGTTTTACATGTCTATTGATTCGCGAAAACAATTCGATTGGAAAGGAGATCTTGTGTAACATTTATTTTGAAATAGAACTCTCATTTTCAAATTATCGTTTAAGCTTAAAAGTTTGTGTGGGTCATTTCCTGATTAAATTCTAGTTAACATGAGATAGGTATTAAGTAAAACCTAATGAATCCTAATGAATATACCACGTCGAATTCATAAGGACAGACGCCAGAGATACCGAGAAAGTTTAATGCATGTCGTTTAGATGCTGACTGATTTGCAAGGGCAATTCTATTGGAAAGGCACTCCCGTGTAGCATTTGTTTTGAAATTGAACCATCATAATTTGCAAATTTAATTTAACATGGAAAAATTGATTGGAGTCTTCCCTTGACACTTCAATATCATTATAGTTAGACATTGAGTAGAATTTGATGAAGATATTGAGTAGGTTTCAGAAGGAAAGAATTCAGAGGTTCCCAAATCGTGTTTTTTGTTTACTAGCCCGAGCGCTACCACGGTCAGAAAACACCGCAAAACACAGTGTTGTGGACTCGATCCACATCTCCACCAATGGCTGCTCTTTAAAATGCAGCTTGAATTTGAATAGGATTTAAATGGAATATGCTTTTGCAGGTCTAAGGCCCATTAAGGGATCTGCTGCTTAGGCTTGCGTAGAGAAACTTTCTTATTCTTTCCTTCTTCAAATTATTAGGGTCTCAATAAGGGCTTATCCATTTTTGTGGATAAGTACTTAGTAAATCCCTATTAAAGCCTTGATAAGCCTATGATAAGACCTTATTAAAGGTTTATTCAGAGAAAACGCCACTACACCCTAATCCTGTGCTTGTGCAGAATTGAAGTACCCCCCCCCCCCCCCGGGCATTCCATGAATACAGTCAGGATGGAATAATATACTGTGTTCTTTTTCTTCTCCATTAGTTCCAGATGAAGATAATACTAACGTCCATTGAGTGGCAATTCATGTAAACGAAGGTGTTTATACAGGAACAGAATTAGCAAATGAAATGAAAACACAAATTAACGGTATTGTTGATAACACTAGTTTCTCTAATACTTATGAAGTTACTTACAGTGTAAACACTAGTACAATAGCGATTTCTTCAAACTATGCTGATAAACAATTTGCAGTAGAGACTCATGAGCAAATGAAAGTAATATAAAATGTTAATGTTTGGAATGGAGATTTTGATGCTAACAATTTACGTTCTGTTCATCAAGTCTTTTTAGGAAATTATCAAAAATGGCAGTTTATCAGTATAATGGTTCATGAGATGAACCCATTACAGGATTTGGATGTATCAAATGGGGCATTTAAGCCAAATTCACTAGGGAACGGAATTAATGTGAATGGATTAATTGTTCATTTTCATTATTGTTCGTGAGAAGCGATATCATTTGAACAAGTTCTATCAACTTTCCAACAAGAAAACTATAAAACATATTATATAACAAGCATTGAGGCAGTAGATGTTAATACTGAAGCAAAAACAGATGAAGCACCTACTAATAACGAAGTTGTGGAACAAAATGAAACAGTTAATGAAGAACCAGCACCTGAACCCATAGAAGAACATAAGCCAAAAGCAAAAGCAAAAGCGTTACCAAGAACCAAGAAAGAAGTTGCATTACAGAAATGATTGAAAGCAACAGAACCGAACGTTACAGAAAGGAATTAGACAGAATAAGAAAAGTATTAGACCACAGTCACCAGACAGAATACAAACAAAGGAACAACTCACAGCAAGAAAGAATCATTTTGATAAAAATGATTAAGAATTTCTCAGATTAATATATAACATGATCAAAAGATCGAAAACTCAATTGCATTTGCGACCGTAAATCAATATGGTAGTCAATTTGACAAGAAATGCAGCTTAAATATTCAAAAGAAATAAGAACTGAACCGAAGAGAAGAAGTTATGAAAGAAGCTTCGTTGGACAGAGGTAGTGTAACTGCTAAGCTTGATGATGAACTGAAACTTGCTGACACACTGAAGCAACATCAGTCTTTCATTCAATAAAAAGATTGAAGAAGGACTAATGGAAGCAAAGAAACAGAAAGAAGAGCTTGAAGAGCGAAGTGAACAACATGAAGATATGGCAAGTGCTGATTCAAAGAGTTCAATACCTGCTGGTGTAGAAGTCCGTTCAAAGGCAAAGACGACGAAATGCCAGACTTGGAAGCATCAAATAAACAAGAAGAAGCGGAAGCAAAAGAACGAGAAGAAGACCCTGTAGTTGAAGTAGAAGAAACAGCAGAAGACGTTATGGATACACCGAGTTTAAGAAAAGAGCGTCTGAACTAACACCCGGTAAACCAGAAGAGATGAAAGAAGTTATGGACAGACTGACAGGATCAAAGACAGTGTTTACGAAGAATTCCGTGAATTGTATAATACGATTGTTAATAGTGATGGTGATTTTATTAAGAAGGAAAACAGATTTAAATTAGAAAGTGTCTTACTCAATTTTCCACCCACGACCGAAGGAAAAGAAGGTAGTCCAACCGCATGGACGGTAATTTAAAAATTATCCCGGCAAGAGACCCCAAATAGTATTGCGTACAACTTGACGACAGGTGGCCCAGAAGCATAGAAAAACACTAAATAAACACTGACGCCTCTCCCACCTGATGAGATCGTAAACACGTCGGTGCCCCTGCTCAAGCGTAGGTTCTGATGAGCAAGCTTAGCATCATGCTTCGCAATCTCTCCTGTCAACTTCTCGCGCGCGTGATGCTGTGGCTTGATGTTGCGCGCGAAGCTGTGCGTGATGTTGCGCGTGATGTTGCGCGCGATGTCGCATGACGTTGCGCGCGACGCAGTGCATGATGCTGCGCATGATGTTCTGCAACCTCTCTTGCCAAATCTTTGATGTCCTCTGTTGTCCATATCTGTGAGCAGCCTGGCTGCGCAAGAAGGCTGGCAATTTTAGCTGCGGAAGTGTACTTCGCATACTACCTGGAGCTGCGCGAGCGCTCTTCGCGCGCACGTTGCCATTTACGATTTTGCAGCCGAGCTGCGGGGATGCACTTTATGCACAACTTTGGACTTAAGAGTTGCGAGCCTCGCGCCATGGGAACACACTTCGTACAGGGAGCGCACTTCGTGCACCACTTTTGCGCTGAAAAGTTGCGATTCTCAAATTTCAAGCTGGAGCTGCGGGAGTGCACTTCCAGTACTACTCTTGTACTTCAAATTGCGATTTTGCAAGCCGGAGCTCTGGAGTGCTCTTCGCGTACTACTTTTGTACTTAAAACTTGCGAGCTGTCAGCCGGAGTTAAGGGAATGTCCTCCGCAAACTACTTTTGTACCTAGAAGTTGCGAATTTCGAGCCGGAGCTGCGGGAGTGCACTTCGCGTACTACTTTTGAACTTAAAAGTTGCGATTTTGCAGCCGGAGCTCCGGAGTGCTCTTCGCGTACTACTTTTGTACTTAAAAAGCACGATTTTACAGCCGGAGCTCCGGAGTGCTCTTCGCGTACTACTTTTGTACTTAAAAAGCACGATTTTACAGCCGGAGCTGCGGGAACGCTCTTCCCGTACTACTTTTTGCACCTGGAAGTTGCGAATTTTGAGCCGCAGATGCGGGAGCGCACTTTGCGCGCCAGCTTTGTACGTAGCAAACTACTTTTGTACCTAGAAGTTGCGAATTTCGAGCCGGAGCTGCGGGAGTGCACTTCGCGTACTACTTTTGAACTTAAAAGTTGCGATTTTGCAGCCGGAGCTCCGGAGTGCTCTTCGCGTACTACTTTTGTACTTAAAAAGCACGATTTTACAGCCGGAGCTGCGGGAACGCTCTTCCCGTACTACTTTTTGCACCTGGAAGTTGCGAATTTCGAGCCGCAGATGCGGGAGCGCACTTTGCGCGCCAGCTTTGTATGTAGCAAACTACTTTTGTACCTAGAAGTTGCGAATTTCGAGCCGGAGCTGCGGGAGTGCACTTCGCGTACTACTTTT